CACGATTTCTTATACACAATTACATTTGGTATGACTTTTGTGTAAACCTGGGGTTGGTATTGAAAGACTTAACTAGGATTACACTGATAAAACCCATAAAATGAAGAAGTTTTTAAAACCTATGGAACAGCCATGTAAAAAACCCAACTAATTTACCATTTATCTACATTAGTTTTATTGAATGTCAATCAGCTAGCCATTATAAGAAAATCCTAGTATTTCCTTTGCTGTTGTTAGGAAAATTGAAATAATTTAGAAGTAACTTCTCTGTTTAGAGCTATATGTATTTAAACTTTAGATAAATGTTTTCTTAGGCTTCCCTGTACAGAAATTAGTAAGCTAGGACATGTTCCGATTGTAGTATGGTATGAAGTTCTGTATTCCTCTTCTACCTATACCTAGGCTCATATGATTTTGTCATTCTTTCAGCTTTGCAACCAAACTGAGAACATACTTGTGTCACAAGCAACAGAGAAAAGCTTCTCCCGCTCCCTTTTACTGATTTGTTTGTTTGTTTGTTCGTGTTTGTACTGAAAACTGGAAAAATAAGAAGAATTATTTACAATGCTCCTTTTTTATTTTGTGAATATCATACCCTAAAGCTCTGAGCTTCAGTATAAAAAAAAAAAAGGGACGAGGTAATATATACAAATATTTAATGTGATTTTAAAAACATTTAACAGCTTTAGTTTGATTTACTAATCCCAAACATCTGAGAGGCTGACTCATTTATCAAATTGATTATTTTTTTTCTCAGAACTGGCAAATCCTGTTGGGTGTAGAAAGCCATTATGCACTGAATTCTCCTCAAAAAGGACTTTAGACAATGTATTGACTGACTTTGCATAGCATAAAACAAATTCTGAAAATTGTTGGTAAAGTTCCAATCAACATAGCTGTAATTTGATGATTATTTACTTCACAACGAGGACTAACTGTGACCAACAGAACACAGCAGTATAGTTCCTATCAGCTACTCTCCTCAGAGTGAACATATTGTATTAACACTCTCCGCCTTGTATTTACTATCATTGCACATTCAGGATTTGATTTGAACCTCTATGACTCCATAAATGCAGGCCTTAGCTCCTTGAAAAACAGTCTTACGCTCATTAAGATTCAGAAAGCTCAGACTGCCCAATGTATCTGAGCCCCCACTTATATAAGGAGCAGATATCCATGATAATGGATGTTCCTGGCAAGCTTTAAGAGGCCTGTGTAGTTTTCCAGTAGCTCACCATTATACTGCAATGAGTTTCCATTAGGAATTACCATTGGGATGCTTTTTTTCTACTTTCAATTTGGCAATATTCTGAATGCAACAGACATTTCCTAGTATCCATGGCTAGGAGGTAGATACGGTAAAGGCAAACAGAAATAACTCCAGGAAAAGGAAATTCTCTCATTGATATTTCATATTACCGTTTTCTAAAATTAGGCAGCTAATTTAAGTAGAAGATGAAGCTTTACTGAATTCCATAAATTCAATAGTAGTCAATTAATCAAACCAGAAAGGCTGAGAAAGGCACTGAAAATATTCCTAATAGTCATAAAATATACCAAATGCCATTTTAAAAAGTATTTAAAGATGCAGTGTCTGGAAAATTCTTTTGGAGCTGAGAAGTACTTGGCGGGTTTTCCAGTAGGTATTCTTGAGTTTTTTTGCCTTTTAATTCTAGGATGTTCATCCTTCACCATTATATTGTAATTTCACCTTTTATTAAATATAATAAATAAAACATCAGAAGATGTTTACATTCTATTTCAGTCTCCTATAGTCTCCTATAGTCTCCTATTTCAGCTTCCTATTTCAGCTATGTGAAGGTACTCTGGAACTCATGAAACCATACAAAATTTTTTATGTAACTATGTAAGAGATTCAAAATCAAGTTCTAAATTCTGACACCATTAGAAATAAAAATAAATTTAAATTATAGGGAGAAGGTACCCATGCCACCTCCAGCAAATGATCTTCAAAGAATAAGCATTTAGGACAAATTTCCCAAGACACATATATATCACTAAATGATGAAGACTAATATGAAACTCTTCCATGTTATTAAAGGAATAATAAGTACAAAAATATTTAATAGTCCTATGACTAGAACAGTGTGAAAGGGAAATCCTCACTCAAATGAAAAGAACCCACATATTATATAAATATACATTATATATATAAATATCTACATATATCTATAGATACATATGTATATGTATATATCTTTATCTATATATATGTATATCTACAATTTAATTAAGCACATCTTAAATGCTTAACTAAAGCATATACAATGCAATGCTGTTAAGTCAACCATTTGGCTGAGTTTTATCCAGTCATCTCTCCTGCTGACCACTAACATGAATTATATCTGCACAAATTATATCAGCCACACAAGCAGGAAGTCTGAATGTAATTGCATTCTTCACATTGCCTATAGGCTCTTGTGTTTGTACAATTAAATCAGCTTTCTCCAGATCTTTTTCTTCTCCCTGCAGCAGCATCTGCACATCACACTGCTCCCTGTACAGTGCATGCAAACCTTGCCAGTGCATGTCCATATTGTGTTATCCTGGGACTGAGTAAAAGAGAACTCCTGGAAAGACTTCCTGCACTAAAAAGGATGTAAAATAGCTATTAGGTAACATCACACTGGCTCTTTTTCCAAAATGCAAGTATATGAGAGATGAAAAGGTATCAAATAGAGAAGCTTGTTAAAGCTGATTACAACAAAAGCCATTGAGCATGCACTGTAGGCAGGCTAGTCAGTGCTCTTCATGTTAGCAAAATCTGGGGAATTGTTGTGACAGAGCAATTAAAAGTTCTAATTCTGGGAATGGGAATAGCAATTGGGATGTTTTCAGGGTCAAAGTGACTGCTGGCACTTTTGAGCTTGCTCATTTGGATCTCCCAGGAACTCTCATCCAGATTAAGCATTTTTCCCTGTCTCACAATTAATAAGCCAACAAATGGAAAAGATGCATGCAAATTCAATTACTTTAGCACAATTGTACAGCTATTACAGCAAAATAGGTATCCAGTCACATGGCACCTTGAAGAAATCATTGTAGTCTGTTATTAGTTTGAGAACTGGCCTGTTTGAGTAGTAGCTTAATAACTTTGGAGGTTCTGGTCTTTATCAAGAATTTTTTAATAGGTATGTGAAATACAGGAAGTTCCACATCTCAATTAAATGGTCAGAGACAGGCAACAATTAAAAAAAAATGTTCATAATGTCATTTGAAGTGCTGAGCAGAGGCACACAAAATTTCATGCAAACTGGGAGACTTAATGTACATCCTGAGAATTTATTCCAAGGTTTGACTGACACAAAAAATAAGAAGGGGCATACATCATGCCCTCTTGAAGCCACCGTCACCAGATGGAGCTGCTCTTACAGATGCAGCAAATGCTTTTCCATCACACAGGAAAACTTCAACACTGGTCAGCAGCATCACTGCATTTGATCCTTGCAGAGCTTTAAAAATGTTGCTGTGTCAGATACATGACAATAGCAAGCATTTCACAGAATCACAGAATCACTAGGTTGGAAGAGAGCATTAAGATCATCCAGTCCAACCCAGCCCTAACACCTCAACTAAACCACGGCACCAAGTGTCACATCCTGTCTTTTTAAAAACACATCCAGGGATGGTGACTCCACCACCTCCCTGGGCAGACCATTCCAATACTTAATCACCCTTTCTGTGAAAAACTTTTTTCTAATACCCAACCTATATTTCCCTTGGTGCAGCTTAAGGCTGTGTCCTCTCATTCTGTCAGTTGCTGCCTGGAGAAAGAGACCAATCCCACCTGACTACACCCACCTTTCAGAGATTGTAGAGATTGGTAAGGTCACCCCTGAGTCTCCTTTTCTCCAGGCTAAACTACTTGTTATCTAAGAGAATTTCCACAGTTTTCCACATTTTGCTCCTCTTCTCAGCCCTGGTGAGGCCACATACGGAGTGTCATTCCAGTTCTAGGCTTCACAGAGCAAAAGAGTTATGGAGCTCCTGGAGCAGATCCAGCAAGGGGCTACAACAATGACTGAGGGACTGGGTAAATTTTCTGGGGAAAGGCTGAGGGAGCGGGGCCTGTTCAACCTCTAAAAAGACAACTGAGAGGGGACCTCTCAATGTTTATCAGTATCTGAAGGGAGGGTATCAGGAGAGTGGATCCAGGCTCTGCTCAGTGGTGCTGAGCAATAGCACAAGAGGCAATGGGCACAGACTGAAACACAGGAAGTTCCACTCAAACACCAGGAAGCATTTAATTACTGTGAAGGTAACTGAGCACTGGAACAGGCTGCTCAGAAAGGTTGTGGAGTCCCCTTCACTGAAGATACTCAAAAGCTGCCTGGACAGAACCCTAATGTGCTCTGCAGGGTCCTGCTTGAGCCGGGGTGTTGGACTAGACGACCCCATCAGTGTTCCTTCCCAGCCTTATTCACCAAGTAGTTCAGTGATTTAAAAATATGACTGGGTCAATGCTTTAAGAAATACTAAAATGGATTTAGCCATGGCACGGCTGGTGCCTTAATTAAATTTTAAAGGCAGACCTTTATTACCGAAGGGTAATACAGAATTCAACGGGTATCGATGCACACTTTAACATGCACTGCAGAAATCACTGTTTCTATTAAATTTGCGTGTGTTGATGAGGCTGCAAACGGTGAACACCGTGTTAGGAACCGCTGGAAGAAACACGCCCGATCAAACTGCAAAGCCTGAGACAAAGAGGGTTCGGGAGAAGATGAGGTAACTTCGGCACAAGGAGCGACTGCGGGGAAAGAGAGCGGGGGACACGCCACGGGTGTCCCAGATTCCCCCAGGAGGGAAGCGGATGCCGATCCCGGGCAGCCGCGCGGGGCGGCGGCGGCGGGGCAGGAGGAGGCGCTTCGGCCGCTCCCCGCACGGCCGCGCTGGGGCCGCCCCGCGCCCGGGGCCCGCGGGCGGGCTCGCACCCGCCTCCCGCGGTGAGGCCGAGGGCGGGCCGGGGCAGCGGCGCAGGAGGGCAAAGGGGCAGCGGCGGAGCGCGCCGGGCCGCCATGGTGCTGCTGGTGGTGATGGGCGTCAGCGGCTCAGGGAAGTAGGTACCGGGCGGGGGGCGGCGCTGCGGCGGTGCCGGGGGATGGGCGCTGCCGGAGCCCGGCGCTGCGGCTCCGGCTCCAAGTGCGTAACCGGCCCTTTGTGCTTCCCCGCAGGACCACGGTCGGGTCGCGGCTGGCAGAGAAGGTAGGAGCGTGTGGGAGCCGCCGCCTCGGGGGCGTGCCGGGGCGAGCAGGTACCTCCCTGCGCCAGGCCGGCGGCCTTCGCCCGGGCTGCTGGTCCCCCGAACCGGGTTTGGCTGGCGCAGTGCCGCCTGCACCGACTTCGGATCAGTGCCGTGATGCAACAGCTGTTGCTGCTACCAAGCTGCCTCAGTGTTTTGTTTTTTTTGCTAATCGTCGTGCTATAAACGGTGATTCATACTGTGGTGCAGGAAGCTTGTAATTTCTTAGGTGTCGTCTTTGTAAATTCTGAAGTCATTGTTACCTCGCCTGATCTAGCTGAACAATCCGTAATTAATTTATTTTTTTCTTAGTTGGGATGGAAATTCTACGATGCAGATGATTATCATCCTCTAGAGAATAAGAAGAAAATGGAAGAAGGGATACCACTAAATGATGAGGTACCTTGAATAAGCCCTGAAAAAACTGTCGTCCACACATTTATCTCTGTAATTTCATGCACACCTTGTTGAAGTACATTGTGGTTTACTATGTAGACTAGTCCAACTGTAAACACAGGTCTGTGTAAGGTGAGGGAGGCTTTTTGTGTCAAACTGCATAAAAAAGTAGTTCATCAAATGCTTGTGAGCTCACAAGCATTATGCTGTTGTTTCAAGATTTGTGAGAAATCTCCCCCTCTACAGTCCACACAGAGAGTTGCAGTTTTGGATTAGAATCATTCCTGAGTTGGAATGGACCTACAAGAAACATGGAGTCCATTGCGTGGCCCTGCACAAGAAAACTCAAAAAAATTGATATCCTTCTCTCAAATCACTTTTCATGATTTATCACCACTCCTGGTTAACTTGGGAGGTCCCAGGATGACTGGAAGCTGCCAATGTGGCCTGTCTACAAGAAGGAGGATCCAGGGAGCTGCATGCTTGCAAGTCTGGCCTCAGTGTCAGGGAAGGTTGTGGAACAGATTGAGTACACCACATGGCATGTGTAGGACAACCAGAGCATCAGGCCCAGCCAGCAGGGGTTTGGGAAAGGTACCCTTACCTCCTTCCATATCCAGCTGAACTAGTGGATAAGGGAAAGGCTGTGGATATAGTCTGCCTGGACTTCAGTAAAGCCTTTGATGCCATTTCCCAAAGCATGCTCCTTGGGAAACTGGCTTCCCATGTCTAGAATGGGTGCACTGTTGGCTGGTTGAAAACTGGCTGGATGGTCAGGCCCAGAGAGTGTTGGTGAATGGAGCTACAGTTGATGGGCAGTCACTAGTAGGTTTCCCCAGGGATCCGCATCACGGCCAATCCTGGTTAACATCTTTATTAATGATACCAAGGGGATTGACTGCATTCAGTAAGTCTGCAGGTGACACCAATTTGGAAGGAAGTGTTGATATGCTGTAGGGTGGGAGGGCTCTGAAGAGGGATTTGGACAGGCTGGATCAATGGGCTGAGGCCAATCATGTAAGTTTCAACAAGCTGAAATGCCAGGTCCTGCCCTTGGGTCACAATAGCGCCGGGCAGGACTACAGGATTGGGGCAGAGAGGCTGGAAAGCTGTCCAGCAGAAAAGGGCCTGGGAGTGCTGGTTGGCAGTAGGTGAACATGGGCCAACACACACTCAGGTGGCAGAGAAGGCCTATGGCATCCTGGCCTCCATTAGCAACAGTGTAACCAGCAAAACCAGGGCTGTGATTGTCGCTCTGTGCCTATACCTCACACTGGTCACACCTTGAGTCCTGTGTTCAATTCTGGGACGCCTTAATTCAGGAAGGACATTGAGGTGCTGGAATCAGTCCAGAGAAGGGCAACAAGACTGGTGAAGGGTCTGAAACACAAATCCTGTGAGGAGCTAAGGGAGCAGGCGGTGTTTTTACAGTAGAGAAAAGGAGGCTCAGAGAAGACCTTATCAGTCTACAATTACCAGAAAGGAGGTTGTGGTGAGATGGGAGTCAGCTTATTCTCCCAGGTAACAAGGAATAGGACAAGGGAAAGTGGTCTCAGGTTGTGATAGGGGAGGTTCAAGGTGAATATTACAAAAAATATAATCACTGAAAGAGTGGCTAAGCATTAGAACTGGCTGCTCAGAAAAGTCACCATCCTTAGAAGTGTTTAAAAAAAAAATAGACAATAGTATAGTTTAATTAGCATGGAGGTGTTCAGTCAAAGGTTGGACTTGATGATTTTGAAGGTCTTTTCCAAGCCTAATGATTCTATGATTCTGAATTGCAGCATGTGCCTAAGAGTGCTGACCAAATGCTTTGGAACTCTGTCAGGCTGGTGCTATTACCACTTCCCTGGGGAGCCTGTTCCAGTGCCCAGCCACCCCTGGGGTGGGGCCTTTTTCTAATATCCAACATAAACCTCCCCTGACACAGCTTCAGGCCATTCCCTCACATCCTGTCGCTGATCACCACAGAAAACAGATCAGTGCCTGCCCCTCCTCTCCCTCTCAGGAGGAAGTTGTAACTGCGATGAGGTCTGTCCTCTGTCTCCTCTTCCCCAGGCTGAACAGACCAAGTGACTTCAGCCACTCCTCATACACCTTCCCCTCAAGGCTCCTCAGCATCCTCAAGGCCCTCCTTTAGATACTCTTATAATATATTTATATTCTTCTTATACTGTGGTGCCCAAAGCTGCACACAGGACTCAAGGTGAGGCCACCGCAGAGCAGAGCAGGACAATCCCATCCCTTGACAGGCTGGCAGTGCTTGAAGTACTAGTAACTTAATGGTACAGCTTGAAAAAAAGGATTATTCCATTTGCCATCAATTAGGACAGTGGTTTTACAGTTAAAGCCCCTTTTCCTGTACAGAATCAGGAAGAATTAAAAAAGCTCATGTCCACTACTTCTAGAGAAATACATACTTATGAATGTATGTCTCTTTAAACAAAGAATATAAAATACAAAGAATATAAACTAAACAATCCTGGTGAACATATGAAATCAATCTAAAAGTATACAGAACTTAAGAACAGGGCAAGATGCAGTAATGGTATATTTTTAAAAAGACCTTAAGAATTTAATTAGAATTGAAAAATTTTGCAAAGTTCCTACTTTTTTTTTTTTTTTTTTTTCAAGGGTTCCACTTTTATTTTTTCAGTCCCTCAAATCTTTTGGGAGATGTCCTTAGACAATCTAGACAAATATTCAAGATTCTGGTGAAAACCTTGGATCTTTCACTAGCAATTGGAAGCCTGTATGTTGTCTGTAGCAGCATTGTACACTTGAATGACTAAACCATTCGTGTGTGGTGCCCAGCAAGAGGAAAGCATCTTTTCTGAAAAATGAGAGGTGCAAAATTGTGAGGGCCATCTTGAATGCCAAGGGCAAGTTACTATGTAATGACAGCAACAAAAAATTGTTGCGTTTATTTGTCCATGTTAGCATTTGTTGCGCTCACCCAGCAGGAACAGCATTGAGAAATTAAATGGGAGCAGTTTTTAAGTGCTCATTAGGCATGACTGAAGTTTGTGGCAGCTTAACATTTCAGATTTTTAAGATTTTTTTAAGTAAGCATCTTATCAATCACTCATGTTTGCCTAAGTAATGGGCAAAAGTTTGGGAAATTGTGGTTGTGATTACATTTATTTGTGAGTGCTACTGAAATAGTTATTGAAGATAACTAAATTTAGACCTGTCTGTTTCTGGAAGCTTCAACTTGAATCCAAAACAGGGTGGGGTGTGTGTGTGACACTATCAGGGAAAAGAAATAACAATTCTAGCTGTACATTTTAATGGTATAATAGAAGCAAGAGATAAGCTGACTGTCCTTCAGAGGTTTACAAGGTGCATGCTACACTTGCGTACCTATTACTTCCATCATATACTTATAGGGACCTGTAACATAGAAAGTATTATTCCACTGAAAGCTTCTTATTCATAATATGCCTGGCAGTTCATATTAGCCTTCAGGAAGTAGTTGCAAATCTATATATAAAGAAAGAGATTAAAAACTGAACTTCCTGAAGAGTTTAATGCTAATTTTTATCTCTAGTCAAATACCTGAGATGCTAGAAGCAATTGTTTCAAATTAATTTCTGAAGAATTTTTAACTAACTTGTTTTCTTTCTAGGATAGGATTCCTTGGCTTTGCACATTGCATGATATACTAAGGAGGTAAGAGAATATCTAGTTTTAAAAAGTTTTAGCAAAAGACAGAAGTACCAGAAGTGTTTTTCCCCACTGCATTGCAAAGCAGAAATATAAGTGGGAGTGTAAAGAACTTCTGCACATAGTAAAGTCATTCTATTTTTACTAATCCAAACTGTCATAGTAATTGCTGACTGTGAGCTAATCCCTGAGAAATAAAGTGGGAAATTGTTGCCAGTGATTTCTTTTTTCTACTATCTGTGTAAAATAATTTCAAGGATCCAATTTATTAAAAAGCCTGGCATTAACTACTTACAAAGAACATAACTACAAAATACACCAATAACAACAGTAAGAAAAAATACTGTTATTTTGAATAAGATACAGTGTCAAGTTTGTTTGACACTGTTCACTTGCTTGAGTGTACTCTGCTAATTTGCAGATGACACCAAAATGGGAGGAGTAACTGATGCACAGGAACCTTGCAAGGCTGTAGAAACAGGTTGGTAGGAACCTTTTAAAAACACAAAATCCTACCTCTGGTAAAGAACAACCCCAAGCACTGCTATGGACAGAGGGCACTCAGCTGGAAAGCAGCAGAAAAGGGCCTGAGGGAGCTGTGATGGACAGCCTCTCTTGGACGTACGCCAGCAATGTGCTCCTCTGGCAAGGCAGGCCAGCAAAATCCTGAATCCCAGGCTGTATTAGACCAAGAATTGCCAGCAGGTCAAAGAGGTGGTCCTTCCCCTCTCCTTTTGCACTGGTGAGGTCACACCTGAACTGCTGTGTCAGTTCTGGGCTCCTCATTATGAGAGAGGCATGGACATACTGGAGAGCATCCAACAATGATGAAGGGACTGGAGTATGTCCCAAAAAAGGAAAAGGTTGGGAGGGCAGGGACTGTTTAGGCAAGCTTTACAATTGCCTGTATGCATTAGGTGAGCATACCTCATTGGAGCACAGGTTAATCCAGAAATTTGTCTGGATTGATATGCTGGATCCATTGCTTTATATTATGTGATAGCTTAATGCCACTGCCCAGCTCTGGAAACTTTACAAAATCAACTATATTTTAAAAGAACCTAATGCCAGTGTTTCATTATTAATTCTTATTAATAGCTGAGGCTATCACTGACTTACCTAAGTGATAATGGTAGATATCAGAAGTTCTTACTTCCCTTTGAACCAAAATCTGACCATGGAATGATATTTAAATAGGTTTATACCTGATTTTATTACAGGATATATTTTCTTAGGCAGGAATTTTATTCACTCCTCTTAGAGACAACTAATTCTGGATTTGCTTTTTGGTGGAACAGACACACCCAGAGTTGAATGCTTTATTTTAAGAAGCCTTGTCAGCAGAAAATACATGTGCAAAGCATTCACTGACCTGCAATCTCTTGTTTAATCTGAAGTGAGTATACATGCAATGCTGCCAATGAGTTGCAGAAAACATAAATTACAGTTGAGTCTGAGACAGTGACAACATGTATTTAAAATACTGTATTTAAGAACAGTGGTCTGTACTGTTTATCAGCCGCTTACCTTTAGAGAGAATAGTACAGTAATTTTATAATGGATAGGTGTTTCTATGGATATTTAGTTCCTATTGTCAGCAATTAAGGAAATTATCTTGACGCTTCCTTGTGCTTAGAATTTAATTTAATTCAGGAAAGAATGGTGGCTAATAGACAAGCTCCGTAAGACTGAGATTTTGCTAAAAGGTTGGCTAGCTTGACCTCACTTTCAAATCACATCTTTACCTGGACTAGAAATTTGGTTTCAAAATCCCATCAAAATTATTCAAATACCTGTCAAATATATTCAAGTATATTCAAATATACTGTATATATTCAAATATACAAGTATATTCAAATATACTGTCAAAATGCCACTACTCCTGTGGCTGTCCTTGAGGAGCTAGGGCTTGTCTGGCTTGTTCAGTAGAACTAACAAGCCGGTTTTATAGATGTATAAAGGTTTTTATTTTTGTTTTTTCTTTTCAATAGAGAAGACACATCTAGACAAGATACAGTTCTGGCCTGTTCTGCACTCAAGAAGATGTACAGGCATGTGTTAATTAGTGGAGCATCTGCAATCAAAAGCAACCAGCCAGAGCAACCAGGAGAAAACCCAGCACTGAAGATCCTCTTTGTTCATTTGGATGGACCTATGAACATCATTGCTGGACGCCTGGAGAAGCGGAGAGGTCATTTTATGCCACTTAAACTTCTCAAGTCTCAGTTTGATACTCTAGAGCCACCTAGTGCACCAGAAAACTTCATTACTGTCAGTCTAGAAAAATCTCTCCCAGAAATAGTAGCAGAGATTGAGAGCGCCATTATTCAGGGTGAGACTTTGCCAGCGTAATTTTCTGAATGACACATATAGAAATTCCCTGAAGGATAGCAAGGCTATGAGACAGGGTTTTAATTATTAAATTGATTATTAAATCAAACCAGCTTATTTTGAAGAGCTGGTTTACTGCTTGGTTTTTTTATCATGGCTCTGTAAAAGACATCCAAGATATAATTTGCAATAACTTTTAACTTTTTAAGCCCTTCACTCTATGAAGTTAAAATTCTCATTTTAGTAAGAGCCTACTTTTGAAAATCCTTGCAAGGGTCACACAGAATAATTTCTTTTCTTAATTTTAATATTTACTCTGTCAGATACTGAGATGGGCACATCTGCTATTACAAGATTAAATAATTTACAGCTTTGTTAAAAATAATATAATTTTCCTAGAAGAGGCAGGAACATGTATGATGAAGTTCCATACATGACACTACCTCTGTCTCACTGCTGGATTTTCATCAAGTTGTAGGTTCTGTGTTTGTATCCTTGTTTACCTCACTAGAGTACTGATGACTTCATGAGAACTTTCCTGATCTCTTACTGAATGCATTGACCACCAAGCTGAAAAGTGTTTGAAATAAAAGGCAGTGGTGGTGATGCAATATAAAAAAATTAACTGAATGGAAAGCTTTAGAAATAAAGCATAAGAAATATTTAGAAATAAAGCTTCAGAAATAAAACATCACACTGGCTCTGAACTTGGAGCTTTCATGTACAAAGCATATACATTGCAGCTGAGTGTGAGTCAACTAGTGATTTAAGGTCGTGAATGCAAGGTTGATTGACACTTCCTTCTTTTTGAAAACTTACTCTTTCACAGCTGGACCTTCTTCATTTCCCAATGCTGGTGGGCACCTCAGTGCATGTCAATGCAATTGCTTTAAAGCTTTTGATCAAACTATTCCTACTACATATTTTTCTCATCTTTTTTGATGAAGATGAGAAGAAAATTCCAAATACCTAATCAGTCACCTAGCTACCAGAATTTAAGATTGAAGTCCTTTTTTACCACCAAGGTGTTTTTCAAAAAGTACTTCATGTCATGTTAGACAAGATATGCCTTTTCAGCTTCATACAATGAAATTTTCTATTTTAAGTTTCTGTATGAAAGATTTGAGTCTTGTCCGAATGGAGACATCTCCATGTGCTGTCACACATGGATTATTTTCAGTACGTCATGCAATTTTTTTTATTTCTGGAATGATGGATGAACTCCTGTAGAAGAACACCTTATGTTTGAAAGCATCTTTAGTGTAATTTTTACCTGGGTAAGTACTTGAAAACTATTAATCATGGTTCTCATTATGAATGAAAATAGTAAAGGCTTTGTGGTGTACTAGACAAACTACTGTGCTTAAATTAGTGCAATAAATAGGCTTTATGTTACTGAAAGCAGCAATTTTTAGACACAGAATTGGAATTTTAGGCATTAACCTATCCAGAAATGGTGTTTTCCAGTTTATTTGTGACCTGAAGGGAGAATACCAGGCAGTTACTAGTTTTAGTCTGTTGCTGTACACTACAGGGTGCTCTCACCCCAGATCCTGTTTGTTCCAACAGCCAGGGTGCAAGTTTAAGATATAGAAGCAAAGTTAAGTGCAAGAGGCAGGGATATCTGTAAGCTTCTTAATACCCTCAAATTTCAGAGACCTCTTCAGACCAAGTGACTGGTCAGACCTGTACAAATTTTGTAGCTATGAAAATCACAGACACAGCACCCTCTTGTGGCATCTATGCTGTTGATGAGGTCTTCATCTTTTTCAATACACCATTTTACAAACACTTGACTAATGTACCCGTTATTAAATACAGATTTATGCTTCCTTCTTTCACACACAATAAAGCCAGACCATAACGCTCTACAGCAGCAGCATCCTGTCACACACAGATATGATCAGACCTTTAAATAATTTTTTTTTTTAAAAAGGGACGTTTTTGAGTTCTGAGAAGGCCAGACTGATTTTCAGATCTACTTGTCCACATTTATAGAACACTCACAAAGTGGCTTCACTGACAAAATTGTACTCAACAGTAAAAAAAAAATCTCATTAAGAGAGTTTTATATAAGAAGCTTGGATTTTGGAAGGCTTCTAAACAAAGTAGTATGTTCATACTTACAGGCAGTTCATGCTTCAGATTAGGTCAGGGTATTTCTCAGTCTTTGTTTTTATGTTGGGAATCTTTCCTTCCCTTACCCTTTTAATATATTTGCATCTTGCTTTTACTTAAAAGATACTGCAGAGAAGGTTGTCAATCTAATTGGTTGTCTGTTACCTGCTATTCTGAAAGACAATGAAGCATTACTTCTGTTAATTTATATTCTGTTCATTACAAATTATTAGATTAAGATGTGAATTGTCCCAATATTAACCACATAAAACTACTCTCAGATTTTAATCAAGCTGTGCACATGTGCAGTGGAAGAAAAAGGTAGCAGAACAATCCTTGCCCAAAGACAATCCTACAGCATTTCATTTACTTGATTTAGGTTTCATTTGTGGTTTGTTTTTGTTGTTTTGTTTGAGAGTTTTGTTGTTGCTGTTTTTAAACTAACACCACTATTCTAGGCATGTCATATTCAGGTTAGTTGGGCAGGCTATTAATATTATCTGGATGCAAGTATTTTGATATGTATTTAGCAAATGCATCAAAAACTGAGGAGGAAACACCTGGAGTTCGAAATTGCTTACTCTGTCTCTAAGCACAAATTATCTATGCAAGGTACATGCACTTTACATCCTCAACGAATTTATGCTATGCACAGTTAGTAACATGATGTGTAAATAATGCACCTACTACAGCATAAACGTTTTTCAGTGCTAAAATGAGGAAATAAAAACTAAATGCTATCTATCCCAAACTGCACAAGTTCCTCTGCACAGGAAAGGAACAGACTAGCTGCCTGCCACCTCAACTATAAATTGATATGTGTTGTGGCTTTTTTATTAATAATATTTATTTTGTTACGCCAGGTTGTGGTATTTGGGGGGGCGGGGGGTTTGGCTACAGGGGTGGCTTCTGTGAGAATCTGCTGGAAGCCACCCCCACCCCCTGTTCAAACAATCCCAGCTGGCTTCCAGACAGACATGCTGCTGGCCAAGGCTGGGCCATTCAGAAATGGTGATAACGCTCCTGTGATAACAGATTTCTAAGAACAGGGGAGAAAAAATGTGATTGCACAGATGTAACTGCAGCCAGCAAAGAATGGGGTGAGACCACGTGAGAGGAACAGCTCTGCAGGCACCAAGCTCAGTGCAGAAGGAGGGGCAGGAGGTGCTCCAAGCACCAGAGCTGAGATTCCCCCACAGCCCCTGGTACAGTCCATGGTGCTGTGCCCCTGCAGCCCATGGAGGTCCATGGGGATGCAGAGACCCACCTGCAGCCCATGGAGGAGCCCAAGGCTGGAGCAGGTGGATGCCTGAGAGGAGGCTGTGATCCCATGGGAAGCCTGTGCTGGAGCAGGGTCGTGGCAGGGACCTGCAGACCTGTGGAGAGGAGCCCATGCTGGAGCAGGCTTCCTGTAGGATGTGACCCTGTGGGGGACACACTAGAGCAGCCTGTCCTTGGAAGGACTGCGCCCCATGAACAGTGGCCTATGTTGCAGTAGTTTGTGGAGAGCTGTTGCCCACAAGCTGGACTGAGATGGAGAACTGTCACCCATGGGAGGGATGCCACACTGGAGCAGGGGAACAACTCTCCCTAAGCAGCAGCAGAAAAAACTTGTAATGAACTGACCATAATCCCCATTCCCTGTCTTCCTGCACTGATGGAGGGTGGGAGGTAGAGCTAGGAAGGAGGGAGGAGTAGGGTCTATTTTTACTCCCCATTATCCTGGTCTGATTTTGTTACTAATAAATTCAACTAATACCTCTAATTCCAGCCTGTTTTTCCCATGACAGTATATGATGAGCAATCTCTCCCAGTCCTTATCTCAACCCATAAACCCTTTTTTATATTTTCTCTCTCCTGTCCAGCTGCAGAAGGGAGGTATACAGTGACTTTGGTGGGTACCTGGCATCCAGCCAGGGTCAGCTCAGCACATGCAGTCACTGAACCAAGAAGATAATTAGGCAGACCACATCCTTTAAAAAACTAGCCATCTTCCAGTCATATTCACAATAGTAATTTCATGCATTTTGAGTATTTTAAATTACATCTGTCAGTTCAGATATCATAACTTCAAGATTTTTTGCTTTAGCATCAAATGATGGCAACTTTTTCTAGCAGGGGTTTGATGATCAGGCAAAGCAGTTTTGCAAACAATCCTGTCAGGTCACTTGGTCCACAGCAAAGGAAAAGAAGAAAGCAGGAAAATGAAGAGACCTTTAAGCACACATGTACTCTGATCCAAAATGCAAGCTGCAGATTTCAAATACAAGTTATCTAAGTGCTCATGTGAAAAAAGAAGCAGGTAACTCTGAAGAGAGAATTTTAGAGAGAGATGGATAAAGGGATGAGGGGTAGAAGTGGGATGGGGTGAACAAAGAGAAACATTGTAACAATCTAAAACCAGTAAATGCAGGTTTTCTCTCACCATTAAAGATTAAATAAAAGGTCTATCCTATCTATAAAGCTTGTTCTGCTTTCTATATTTTCTGACAAAATGAAAATTCCTAATAAAAAACAGTTCAGTGTTTTTACCACTACTTACCAGAAAGCTAGTTTAATTGACAGTAATTACTGATAAATATTGATTCTACTTCAAGAAGAGAGCTTAGCTGAAGGCTCAGTATAGATTTTAGGTCAAACTTCATCTCTTGCTGAATTGCGATGAAATTTTGCTTCAAATGTATTGTCTCTTAGTTTGTAACATGCAACTGAAATGCTTAAAAATGGTGAGATGAATGGTGTCTCAAGGAAGTATTTGTGCTAGTTAGATTCACTGATTTAGTGTCTTGGTAAAAACTGTTCCGTTCCCCACATCACCCTTGCCCTTCCGTCTGACAGACTGCTTGGATGTCATGGACTATATTCTCAAAAAGATCTGCCTGTTGAATGATGAGGGAGTCTCAACTTTTTTTAACGCAAGGTCCCAGTAAGGCACACTTAAGTTGAATTAGTTTCTTTGGAGATCCTAATAGTCACTGTGAAAGTAACTGTAAAAAAGTTAGAGATTATTCTACAGAAACTACTTGCTCTCTATCCTTTCTTATCAGAGGGTCCTGTAACCTCCCTCTGCCTGAGGGTCAGAATAAAATGATGAACAAAGGCAAGTCCTTGCCTGGAACAACGGACAAGACACCTCCTTGCCCATCTCACCCTCCCTTTAGGTGCCTCTCTGTACAGTAGTTACAGATAAGGAAAGTCATGCAACGGATGATAAGGATGAAGGCCCCTCTCTACTGAAGATGTCATCTAGACCAGACAGGCCTACAGCTCACAACAACATCAGTTCCATGAAGAAGAAAATAATAGTTGTAGTGGTAGATGGTTCCCTTCAAAGGGGAATGGAAGGTCCAATATGCTGGAAGGATATTCCCCTCAATGAAGTTCACTGCACTCCTGGAGTCAAGGTTAATGATGTCACCAGGAAGTTTCCCATCCTGGTTCAGTGCTCAGACTACTACCCATTACTGATCCTCCATGAAAGTGGTGAAGAAGTCACAGCATGTAATCAGTCCAAAGGCTATTAAAAGACACTTCAAGGCCTTGGGACAACTGGTAAGGGAATCATGGGCATAGGTTATTTTTTCCTCCCATTCTTCCATGTGGAGGTAGTGACTGAAAGAAACAGATGGATCAAGTCGATTAATATATGGCTCTTAGGCTCATGTCACTGCCAAAATTTTGGGTTGTTTGACAATGGGATAGCTAAGATAACACATTCTTGTATCAGATGGGATCAGAAGCATCACCTCTCTCAAAAGGAGAAGAGGGTCTTTGGTCAACGGTTAGCAGGAGTCACCAATACAGCTTTTAACAATTTATGATTGGGAAGAGGGAGGTTACCATCCTATTTAATAATGATAAGGTGTGGGATGATTTGCCATCCTATTTATATCAGTTAAGTGCCAGAGCCAGCAAGAGACACCCAGAGTCTAGAGAGGGATTGCAGGTCAGTAGTACACCTGGAAGACAGCACAAGGGCTTCCAGCCTCTCCAGAGAGAAAGTAATTTTCACTGGAGGGGTGGGCTAACTTAAATGCCTCCATGCTAACACATCCAGCATCCAGAGAATAAAGGAGACATATGCATGCCTGCAGGTCTGTGATCTTACTGGCATGACAAAAACATGGTGGAAACTCCCATGACTGGTGTGTTGGAATGGAAGGATACAGTCTCTTCAGGAAGGGCAGGCAAGGGAGACAAAGTACAGATGTCAACCTCTCTGTCAGTGACCATCTGCATGGAGCCCCTCCTGGAATAGATGAGGAGCTAATTTACAACTTATGGGTGAGGATTAAAGGGAGGACAAGCACAGGTAAGTTTATAGTGGAGGCCTGCTATGGGCCACCTGACCAGGAAGACCTAGCCACTGAAGCCCTCCATAAGCAGAGTAGAAAAGCCTCACATTCACAAGCCCTGATCCTCATGGGGGAATCCAGCCATCGCAACAGCAATTTGGAGGACCAGGCATAAGCAACTTACATGTATTTTGGCTCAAACATTCTGACTGTTACAACAGGAGAATGTTGATTGGATTGAGAGGGTCCTGTAGAGGTGGGGCAGTCAGTGCTGTTCTGAGCCAGCTTCCTTTTCCTTCCTAAGTTGTTAAGCTTGAAAATCTGCCTTAAGACTCATTCTTAGTGCACCTGTGTCAACAGAAGGGTTAAATTACAGACACCTCACTAAAAGTTGCTCCAGGACATCAGAGTCTGCAAACTCCCTCATTTCCTGGAGAGCTCTAAATAACTCAGTATGCACATATGAACACTACAGCATGAATGACACACAATATTTTACATGAGAGGCATATACCAGGTAAACCATAGAAGGAAGGGGATTGGTCCCCAGCATTCTCTCAGTTGATCCCAGATCCAGACCACTGCAGGACCAATGCAGGATCTAAGGACTGACTTTTTTTCTTCCTCTCTTTTCCATCTATTCTCTCCTGTTTTATCCCAGCAGTTACATTCCGCTTTATTCGCTTACTGAACACCTGAAGTTTATTGTGAGATTTGGGAGCTAATTTGAAAGTTTGTTGTAGCAGTTGGACCTTTTTAGCCAACCCTTTTACAGATAAATTAGAGAAATTAGTGAGCTAATTTCTGGAATAAGGCTACCACATAGACATGCAGACCTTGTCTAGACAGATAAAACTTACAAGAAATATCACACACACTTCCAGGTTGTGACAGCCTGTTGGAGGCTCACGACAGTAGAGCACAAGTATTCCAGGGGATTCACTAATGACAACTGCCTCCTTCAACTCATAAAGGAGCCAAAGAGGAAAGGTGCTAGGCTGGATCTTGTTCTCAGAAACAAGGAGCTGGTGGGGAATGTGAAGTCCAAGGGTATGTTGGGCTGCAGTGACCATAAAACAGTGGAGTCTGAGACCTCTGGGGAAACGAGGAGAGTGAGAAGCAATATGACTGCGCTGGACTTCAGGAGAGCTGAAGTTCGCCTCTTGGGAGGATCTCCTTGGTAGAAATACCATGGGACAGAGCCCTGAGCATAGAGGGCTGAATGACATTTAAGGATTGTTTCCTCAAGATTTATGCATGAGGAGGAAACTAGAAGAGAATGTCAGGAGGCCTGTACGGATGAGCAAGGAGCCCCTGGACAAATTTAGAACACAAACAGGTAGCTTACATAGCTTGGAAAGAGGGAAAAGTAGCCTTGGAGTAATATCAAGAAATAGTCCAAAGATCCAGGGAGATGAAATTGTTGTTGTTGCTGTTGTTATTATTAGTATAATGAGAGTAAGAGAGATGAGTAAAACACAAGAGAAACAAATG